ACAAATTAACATAATCATCAATTAAACAGTCAGTTTTAATACTTGGTTGCAAATCCTTTGCAGTCAATGACTGCCTGAAGTGTTGGACACATAGACATCACCAGATGCTGGGCTTCTTCCCTGGTGAAGCTCTACCAGCCCTTTACTGCAGCTGTCTGCACTTCCTGCTTGTGTTTTGGGTGTTTTGCCCTCAGTTTTGGCTTCAGCAAGAGAAACGCATGCTCAATTGGATTCAGGTCAGATGATATGACTTGGCCATTACAGAACATTCCACTTCTTTGCCTTAAAAATGTCTTTGGTTGCTTTTTGCAGTATGCTTCAGGTCAATGTCCATCTGCACTGTGAAGCATCGTCCAATGAGTTTTGAAGCATTTGGTTGAATCTGAGCAGATAATGGTGCCCCAAACACTTCAGCTTTCATCCTGCTTCTTTCAGGAAGGACATAGCAGTGACAAATCTGTTGTTGTTTTTTGTTGTCTGCTTAGATGGAAAGAGCTATGACGCCTTTTTGATGTGTTACAAGAGCGACACAAAAGCAGGACTAAACGCTCATGACAGAAGATGGCTGGAAAGTGTTTTGGAGGAAGAGTTTGGTTACCGTCTCTGCCTTTATGATCGTGACGTCTTGCCAGGGAAAGGTATGTATTTCAGACATACTTAAAATAAAAATCTACCTCAAAATCCTAAGGAATATAAATAATATTAAATCTGAACTCTGGTTGGTTGCAGCTGTAGTGGAGGCAGTGCTGGACAGTATAGAGCAGAGTCGCACCATGGTTTTGATTCCCACCTCTCCAGATCTCGGTCCAGGCTCTGGCCTGCTGAGTGCAATCCATGCAGCCCTTGTGGAGCGGCAGACTCGCTTGGTTTTCATCAAAACTGAGGCAACAGAAGTGCGGAAATCTGGTTCGTTACCAGAGGCCTTACAGCTTCTTAGCAAAGCTGGAGACTGTGTCACATGGAAAGGCGAAAGCTCCATGCGGTCCTCCTCCTCTTTCTGGAAGCAGCTACGTTATTACCTACCTGCCCCACAGCAGCATGCACCACAAATAAGGCTTTCAACTCAAACGATCTAGGATGTTAACTAGTTTAAAGTGTTGAGCCATGTCAGAATTCATAGCTTATATCTATTTTCAGTATATGACTGAAGACGATAGATTTGTCCCAATTTTATTTGTGTGAGAAGATCGACAATCAGAGTTTAAATGTGTAAACTGTAAACAACTTCCACAAATATAAAGTGCAGAATTAAAGAATTAAAATGTACACATAAAAACTGAATTCACTGGATTTACTCACTTTATTTTAATACATTTCCTGCTATGCTGCTGTGTGTATGCAAGTATTCTATGGGAAACATTAACATACAATTATTTAAATATATGTACTGTCACTGTCATGCTGCTCTTCATCCTCGTTCATTTCCTCTATCACTGCATGTACTGTACCATAAAATGTGTTTCTGTGATGCCCTAAGGCATGTCTGAACTGTATTTCAAAAATAAATTGTATTTTACACCTACATTCATTAATATTTCTTTAATATTAAAATCTACTGAGAATTATGACCAGACTTTTTGTTTTGTCTTTACTAACTGTACTTTTAGCACAATAATACACATACTATATGGCTGAGTCTGTAACCATACTGTGCAATGCAAAGAGACAGACTAGCTGATTTTACATTATTGTAGTAGTATAGTATAGAAGTATAGATATTGCACAGTTTATTGTACCTGAGTGATTAATTGTAAGCAGTAAAAAAAAGTACATATAATAAATAAACAGGCCGAGTGGCAGAATTTACATTATTGCACATATAAAGTATAGATATTTCACAGTTGGTATATTCAGATACAGACATTGCACATGAGTGAAGATTGAAAGACTGACAGAAGTCATGGGGTGATTATTAAAAGTTAAAAGCATGTATCTGTAAAACAGTCTGGTTGATTTTCATATGTGTGGTCTAGTGAGAGCAGTGCTGGTTGTATAGTCTGACAGCAGCAGGAAGGAAGGACCTGCAGTATCTCTCCTTCAAACACTGTAGGTGAAGCAGCCTGTCTCTGGAGATGCTGCCCAGTGCTGACAAAGTGTCCTGCATGGGGTGGGACATGTTGTCCATAAAGAATGATAGCTTGGCTGTCGTCAGTCTTGGAGATCATGTGTCTAAGAAACATGACCTCTGTTTTGGGGTTGCACAAGGGAGCTTGTCGGCCCTGAAACAAAAAGAGAAGTGCTTCTTAACAATCTGTGTAATTTAACTCCCTGGATTAAATCTGAGGTGACAAGTGTTGGTGTGATCCTGATTCAGACCTAAGCTTCAAGTCCCACATTAACAAGGTGACCAAAACATCATTTTTCCACCTTAGAAACACAGCTAAGGTATGACTATTTTTAAATGAATAGGAGGCCAAGATATTGACTCATGCCTTTATTTCAAACCGACTTGACTACTGTGACGCATGTTTTATCGGCTTTACAAAAAACACCACTGAGTGACTTCAGCTCATTCAAAACTCTGCAGCTCGGCTATTAACCAGAGCCAAGAGGAGAGAGCACATCAGGCCAGTCTGAGCTGCTCTGGAGTGACTTCCTGTGACATTTAGAACTGATTTTAAGCCCCTCCTTCTTGTACACAAAGAGATAAATGGACTGGGACCAAGCTATACTGCTAACTACCTTGCTATTTGCCTCCAAGAACACTGCGATGATCTGCTGCTGGTTTACTGGAGGTCCCCAGCGACAGCTGGAAGAAGATCAGGGATGCAGCCTTTGTCAGTTACGCCCCAAAGCTATGGAACACACTACCTATAGATATCAGGGAAGCTAGCTCGCTAAATATTTTTAAAAGAAAGCTAAAAACATTTCTGTTCACTTTTGCCTTTGACTTTCCTGATACAGGTCTGAAAGTCTTTCTTTTTACGCTTCACACTGTTGCAACTCTTAAAATCTTATTGATTTTATGATTTATAGTTTTACAGCTGAGTAATTTAATGAATCAGTTCTGTTTTATGTTCATTCTGTCTATTTTCATGTGAAGCACTCAGTGCTTATACTGTCCTTATTGTAAAGCACTTTGTGCTGCATTTCTCATATGAAAGGTGCTATATGAACTAGAAAAGCAGGTCAGATTTCCCGCCATTTTATGCACTTCGCTTCATTTATGCACTTTGCTTCAACCGATCACCACCAAAATTTATCTTATCATCTGTTCCTTGTCCCATTATCCACCTTTCCTGAAAATTTCATCAAAATCCAGACAGACAAACAGACAAACAGACCATCGCTGGCGAAAACATAACCTCCTTGGCAGAGGTAATAAAGTTTATCATTATTATTATTATCATCCTTTCTCCCACCACCTCCAGCAGGTCAAGAGAGCATCCTGGGACAGAGCTGGCCTTCTTTATCAGTCTGTTGAGTCTCTTACCATCAGCTGTCAAGAAGTTGCTGCCCCAGCAAACCGCTATTTAGAAGATAGCTGATGCCACCACAGAGTCATAGAAGGTCTGCAGGAGTGCCCCCTGTACTCCAAAGGACCTGAGTCTCCTCAGCAGATAGTCTACTCTGTCCTCTCTTGACATATACAGTGTATGTGTATTCTCCCCGTGTCAGCATGGGTTTTCCCCAGGTACTCCTGCTTCCTCCCACAGTCCAAAGACATGCAGGTTGGATTAACTGGTTACCATAAATTGCCCGTGGGTGTAAATGTGAGTGTGCATTTTTGTCTGTCTCTATGTGCTATATATATATATATATATATATATATATATGTGTGTGTGTGTGTGTGTGTGTGTGTGTGTAGTACAGCATGTATTATAACATTATATATGGTAGAGTACAACAATAATTTAGTTTATTGATGTTTATTTATTTGCACATACATGCATGCATAGAAAAGACAGGAGAAAAGAAATTAAAAGTTAAAACATTGTGACATTGTGCAGGAGAGGTGAGAAGCCAAAATGGCTTACGAAGATACCTCCCCTATTAAATAACAACAATCATACATAAAGCAAAGATTAATGAACAAGAGTTCCAGACTGAGAGGTAATTGTAAAAGCTGTACAATTTACAAAAAATGTGTTTACAAGCTGAAATGCATTACAAATAAATCAAAAAATAGTCTTTGCAAATAAGAGTCCTTTTCAGATGTTTCTGGAATAACGATAATGTAGATGATGATGTAGAGATAAAAGTAGGTTGTTCCAAAGATACGGTCCTCTGTATTTCAGTGAAAGTTTTGAGTTAGATGCACATAGTGTATTGTATTGAATATGCAAGTCTTCTGAAGAGAGAAACAGATGATTTGCATTTTAAGCAAAGCTAGTCACTCTCAAACATTTCTTTTGAACTCAAAGAATCTTATTGAGATATCACCAGTAAAAACAGTTCAAACAAACATAGCAGCGACCAGTAAGAGTTCACTAAAATTTTTACTTCATTAGAAGCAAAGGAAGAGAGACCTGTTACAGCAGAGAAGGAGATATAGGCTAGATTGTATGCTGGGATTAGAATCTAGGTCAGTGAAAGTACAGGTACGCCCCAGAAAATTGGCACAGCAAGCATGTGCACCTTGCGTTCAGTCTCTAAATTTAGACTTTAAAACTGTATTTGTGTGTCACTTTAGTATTCTCATCTGAATATCATATCAAAAAGTATGCCTTGAATATGTCTATATGTTTGTTGTTCTTTAAAGAACTGTGTTATCAACCTTTTCTGTCTCTGATTGTCAGCGTGGGCCACTAGTTACGCACTTTGTATTTTTTTACGCTTAGAAAATCATGGAAACAACATAGAAACAACATAGTAAATATGATGCAACTAACAGCTCCTCTGTGGTTCACTGACTACAGGAAAACAAACAGTTGAAACAGTTTAAATTGAGACAGGAAATGTTTGTGTGTGTCTTGTGAAAACGTTTCACCACTTTGACGCCCAAGACGAGGTGTGAATACACTGGAAGAAAAGAACTTACCAAGAAATTCAGATTCTTGGTATTTTAGCTGTGGTTACACACTGAAATGCTGGTATCAACGAGTCGTGTTAATAGATTTTGAGACACAGAATGCAAACTGGATACATTCTGGGTTTTTTAATCGTTCCCGTTTTCTTGGAGGGATGCTGTGTGGGAAACCATCGAAGGAAAAAAACAGGTATTTCACTCAAAGACAAATTGTGTTTCAGTTTTACAGCAGAAAAATTGTGCCGTTTGATTTGTGTTTAAACGGATGCATGCGTGTAAACACTCGTGTCCCAGACCTTGTGGTCCGAAAATGAAACCAAATCACAACTCTCTCTAGTTCTTCAGCAGGTTACACACCGGCGCTACAAAGCTGTGAAGGGCGAAATCTTTATGATACCGTGCATAGAATCTGTGAACCAGCACCTAACTGCAAGTACTGGAGAAGGCAAAGAAGGAAATGAAGCCCTGTCCTTCGTCTGTGGAAAGAAGTTTACTGCTGGAGCAAAACATACTGGAAACTACACATACAGGTAAATAATCATGTTTTTATTCACAAATCGAAAGCATCTGACTAAACCTAGACATATTTATGCACCTGAAATGAATGTCTTCAAAACAGGTTGTGTAATCAAACAGTACAATTATGTTTTTTCTTTATGATATTGCATAGGTGGAAAATAACGTGACTTTAAAATATTAGTGTTTTCATTCAGGAATTTTGAACCATAGATTTACATTTTTTAAAGTCTCTCTTAAAACAACACTCACATGGTCATATGTACATTTAAACAATAATAATGACAATGATAGTTTCTTAAGTTTCCAAATTAAGTCCCAGTCTTTGTGTTTCTACTCCTAAATAAGTCATACTGTAATCAGTCACCACCAATTGTGAGGCCACTTTTTAAAATGTGCATTGATTACTTTCAATTAAACGGTATAACATTTAAAAGTAAAATGATCAGGTATCCTGTGGTTTGGTGCTTGTCACACATTTATTGTCTGTGTTCTCTTCTGCGAAGCCAAATGCAGCTTTCCCTTCAGTAAAGTGACTGGGTGTTTTTGGAATGATTTAAAGAATACGCTTCTCTGTTGCCAAGAAAATGAACTGATGATTTGCTGCACAGTTTGTATTGACAAAGGCTACATACAAGGCTACAGTCTAAGCTAACTCACAAGTTTTTGTCAAAATCGAGTTGCGTGGCTTTTTACGCTGTGCAGTTTTTAACCACCAGTAGCGCTATGGAGTGATGACTTTATGAGTGGGTTCCAGGTGGCAACTACAGAGGTAGTCTTGCGTGACCAGCCTCCCTTACTTCGGAATGGGAGTCTGGGGACATTCGACTTCCGTTTTGTAATAGAAATGGGCGGGGATATCCAGACCACGTGACGGCGTTGCCATAGGTGCGGCACCTGTGTTACATGCAGTGTTGGGAACGTTACTTTAAAAAAGTAATTAGTTATAGTTACTAGTTACTTACCCCCAAAAGTAACTGAGTTAGTAACTGAGTTACTGCACTGTAAAAGTAATTAATTACCTGGAAAAGTAACTATAGCATTACTTTTTTTTATAAAATGCTCAAATATGTCAAATTGCTTGGACACTCCCCCTTAATGGAACTGTATGTAATGAAACAACATTGAATATGTTAAATGAATGAAATTGACACTTAATAGAATAAATCATTATTATGAAACACTGTACACACGCGCGTGTGTGTGTGTGTGTGTGTGTGTGTAAGAACCGCCAAGTAATCGCGCAAGTTAAATGTGAAAAGTCTCATTGACTGACCGTCAGTTGTTTGTCTGCAGCGAGGGAGAGGGGCGGAGGGAGCGCAGCTGTGGAAACATCCTGCAGTCCGAGATACTATCATGCGTTAGAATAACTTATTAGACGGATATACAGTACAGGCCAAAAGTTTTGACACACCTTCTCATTCAATGCGTTTTCTTTATTTTCATGACTATTTACATTGTAGATTCTCACTGAAGGCATCAAAACTATGAATGAACACATGTGGAGTTATGTACTTAACAAAAAAGGTGAAATAACTGAAAACATGTTTTATATTCTAGTTTCTTCAAAATAGCCACCCTTTGCTCTGATTACTGCTTTGCACACTCTTGGCATTCTCTCGATGAGCTTCAAGAGGTAGTCACCTGAAATGGTTTCCCAACAGTCTTGAAGGAGTTCCCAGAGGTGTTTAGCACTTGTTGGCCCCTTTGCCTTCACTCTGCGGTCCAGCTCACCCCAAACCATCTCGATTGGGTTCAGGTCCGGTGACTGTGGAGGCCAGGTCATCTGCCGCAGCACTCCATCACTCTCCTTCTTGGTCAAATAGCCCTTACACAGCCTGGAGGTGTGTTTGGGGTCATTGTCCTGTTGAAAAATAAATGATCGTCCAACTAAACGCAAACCAGATGGGATGGCATGTCGCTGCAGGATGCTGTGGTAGCCATGCTGGTTCAGTGTGCCTTCAATTTTGAATAAATCCCCAACAGTGTCACCAGCAAAACACCCCCACACCATCACACCTCCTCCTCCATGCTTCACAGTGGGAACCAGGCATGTGGAATCCATCCATTCACCTTTTCTGCGTCTCACAAAGACACGGCGTTTGGAACCAAAGATCTCAAATTTGGACTCATCAGACCAAAGCACAGATTTCCACTGGTCTAATGTCCATTCCTTGTGTTTCTTGGCCCAAACAAATCTCTTCTGCTTGTTGCCTCTCCTTAGCAGTGGTTTCCTAGCAGCTATTTGACCATGAAGGCCTGATTGGCGCAGTCTCCTCTTAACAGTTGTTCTAGAGATGGGTCTGCTGCTAGAACTCTGTGTGGCATTCATCTGGTCTCTGATCTGAGCTGCTGTTAACTTGCCATTTCTGAGGCTGGTGACTCGGATGAACTTATCCTCAGAAGCAGAGGTGACTCTTGGTCTTCCTTTCCTGGGTCGGTCCTCATGTGTGCCAGTTTCGTTGTAGCGCTTGATGGTTTTTGCGACTCCACTTGGGGACACATTTAAAGTTTTTGCAATTTTCCGGACTGACTGACCTTCATTTCTTAAAGTAATGATGGCCACTCGTTTTTCTTTAGTTAGCTGATTGGTTCTTGCCATAATATGAATTTTAACAGTTGTCCAATAGGGCTGTCGGCTGTGTATTAACCTGACTTCTGCACAACACAACTGATGGTCCCAACCCCATTGATAAAGCAAGAAATTCCACTAATTAACCCTGATAAGGCACACCTGTGAAGTGGAAACCATTTCAGGTGACTACCTCTTGAAGCTCATCGAGAGAATGCCAAGAGTGTGCAAAGCAGTAATCAGAGCAAAGGGTGGCTATTTTGAAGAAACTAGAATATAAAACATGTTTTCAGTTATTTCACCTTTTTTTTGTTAAGTACATAACTCCACATGTGTTCATTCATAGTTTTGATGCCTTCAGTGAGAATCTACAATGTAAATAGTCATGAAAATAAAGAAAACGCATTGAATGAGAAGGTGTGTCCAAACTTTTGGCCTGTACTGTATATGTAGAGAAAGGCGACGTTTAGAGAGCAAGCCCAAATAAGCAACTCCACTTTAGAAACAAGCCCTAAAAACCGCAACCCGTGACTACCAATATTTGTGAGCGACTTTACAAAAACACAAGCCCAAAGTCGCGGACCTGACAAACCTGCTTGTGAATACCCGCCCTACTCTGCCTCTGATTGGTTTATGATGAAATTTTCCTCTCTCTAAGCCAATCATCATCACTTATGCTTCCCCCTCACCTGCCCTCACCAAAGAAGAAACACTTTAGAACCCCACAGTGAACTCAAGTAAAGCCGAGTAACGGCGCATTTTATTGTGAATAACCATAACGGCGTTATAACTGGGGAGACAGTAACTTTTCTGATTACTTGTTACTGAAAAAGTAGTGTCGTTAGTAACGCCATTATTTATAACGCTGTTATTCCCATCACTGGTTACATGTAACAAAAAATGAGATGTTGCAGCTCTGCAATATAGCTGAATCAAATTAAATCATATCCATTTTAATCTCTTCTTGCGATGCACTGAACACTTCCTTTTCTGTTGTACTACGGACAACAATTCGAGGAACAACAATTCCGGTTTAGGCGGGTGTAAGGCAGAGCTAATCAGCCGTTGGTCGAGGAAGTACGAAAGTGCACGGATTTGGATCCAATCTGCCGCTGCTGCTGGGAGCCAGCACTAGTTCTATTACAACTTTCCTATGGGAATATGCACAGATGACAGAGTCAGCCAGCATGCTGACGTCATCGGCATCTGTGTAAGAGACTACTACAGAGGCTGAAAGATAAAGCCAATGTCCAAGTGCCAAAAACTGCCACTAAAGGGTGGATCCCAAAGTGAGGTAATCCCCATGAACCCTCGTGTTAAAATGTCCAACTTTACAGCAGAAAAAAAAAATATTGAAACATGCTGTAAAATAAACTTGCCTTGCCTTATAGTCATCAGTAACAACTTTAAAAATCTTTACTGGAAATCATAATTTTGTTGTGTATGTATGTGATTGAATTTCAGGTCTTTGCTGTCCAATGGCAGCAACTTGTTCGTCAGTCTACAGGTGGTGGAGCCAAATAGTCTGAGATGCTACGAGCCAAAGGAGAGCAATGAAACACTGTACGCGAGTGCAGGTGGGGTCATCTCGTGCCCAAGTCTCAACTGTAGTGACAACGCAGATGCCATCTGGTTCAAGGTAAAGTGCACACACAAGCAGGATTATCCATCTCACAGTGGAAACATAAATTACAGTTAAGACTCAACAAGAACAAGTGTGTTTCCCTTACAGGGTAATGAACCTGTGTCTGAGCAGCGCAGAGCCATCTGCCAGAAGAAGGGACAGTTACATCTCTGCAAAGTCAGATACAGTGATAAAGGTGTATATTTCTGTGATAGAAAGATAGTTGAGCAAGGAATCACATGGACATTCAGGAGGGCTGTTAACGTCACAGTTGAACGTAAGTGCTGTGTGTGTGTGTGTGTGTGTGTGTGTGTGTGGGTGTGTGGGGTAGAGCTTAAACATATGGGGAGTGGAAAAAAAACAAAACACATGCACACCAGTACCTTTAGCATGTACTTCCCTGCCTAACTTGCACTTCATCTAACCTCGCTGACCTAGTTAGGGTTAGGCACAGGTATGGTGTTAAGTGAAGCTACAATGGTCAGGTCAGCTGCAATATCCAGCAATGTGTGGCACTACAGCTAACACTAAGAAAATAGTGGGAAAAACTATTTTTATTCATCAAAGTAGGAAATATATAAATACAATGAGGGATGTCTACACCTCAACCTACGGGATACCCTATGATACAGTATAATCCACCATTTGAATTTTCATTTCAAACATGATTGGTGGCATGGTGATGCAGTGGTTAACATTGTCGCCTCACAGCAAAAGGGTTCCTGATTCGAACTCAGGGTGGGGGGTTGCCCTTCTGTGCAGAGTTTACATCATCTCCCCATGTCAGCGGGTTTTCTCCAGGTACTCCAGCTTCCTCCCACAGTCCAAAGACATGCAGGTTAATTGGTGACTCTGAATTGTCCGTAGGTGTGACTGTGAGCGTGAATGGTTGTCTGTCTCCATGTGTCAGCCCTGTGATAGTCTAATGACTTGTCTAGGGTGCTCCAGCCCCCCTCAACTCCCAACAGGATAAGCACTTACGGAAAATGAATGATTTTCCGTAACTGAATGATGAATGACTTCTGGATCAGTTGGAACACATTTTTATACAGGTCTGTAAGAACTTTAAAAAGCAACACAAAGTACAAAAAAACCCCAAAGAAATAAGCTTTTGCAGAGCAATCCAATATATCATATACCTCTGAGAAATGTTTTTTCACACATTCGCATAATCTGGGTTTGTATACACCATGCATACATCTCATTACTCACTGTGAGAAATCTCTGAACACTCACTCTTTAAACTAATTCATATCTGACTGATAAACCAAAAAACCACAAGGCCTCCTGCACAGCAGGTGGTTATCTATCTATCATCTATTGCATGTTTGTACATCCTGGAAGAGTGATCCCTCTTCAGTTGCTCTTCTAGAGGATTCTACCATTTGTTTTTCCCAGTTAAAGGTTTTTCCTTATCCGCTGTGAGGGTCTAAGGACAGAGGGATGTCGTAGGCTGTAAAGCCCTCTGAGGCAAATTGTGGTTTGTGAGCAAAGCGGGTTATGGAGGCAAAACCTTCAAATCAGGTATATCCTGAAAGGAAGGACTAGTGAAGGACATATCAAATGGTATCACAAGACAGTTCTTCTTTAGTGGCCTTGCACAGTTTGTCATGACTAGGCTGTCTCCCTTAACTTTGCCACCATTTGTAACCAATTCTCCATTTGGTACAGACATTCATGCACCCCTCAAAACAAATGTACTCATTTTGGTGATCATCTAACTTTTCATCTAGTGCTGTCATTAGGTCAAAATTGTAGTTAATCCCCCATTGGTTTGTAACCAAATACCTGCAAACTTATCAGCCTCAGCTGATCATTGTGTTTAGTGCTGATTAGGAAATGTTTGGGGTATCATGTCATTGTTCCAACAGCCCATTATTCTGAAACCCCAAATGTTCCATTGGACTAAACATCTATTTCTAACAGCCCATTATTCAGAGCCCATTGCTCCAAAAGTCCATTGAAACATTCTCCTTGTATTTACAAGGAGGTTTTCAGGCTTGGGATTATGTGCAGGGATTTCTCCAGACTCTCTGAATCTTTTGACGACACGGATTTTAGATGTTTAAATCCCTGAATTCTTTGTGTGTTGAACAACACATTTATTGAACTGTTTGACTGTTTGCCCATGCAGTTTTTCACAAAGTGTCCATCCTTGCTTGTAAACAACTGAGCCTTTTGAGGATGCCCCTTTCATACCCCAGAATGATACTTAAATCTGTTACCAATTAACCGATTATGTCCCTACTTCTTTGGAATGTGTTGCAGGCATTAAATAAGTGTAGATTTATAAAACGATAAAGTTTATCAGTCTGAATATTACATTTTTCTCGTCTTTGGATTGTAGTCAGTCGGCCCTGCAGTGATACGTTTTTTCCTACTATGGCGAAGGGATGATCCACCCTACTGTGCCTCTGATTAACTTACCCTGATATTCTTACCCTAACCCTGATACCAGTCTCAATTCGCATGCCTAAACCAAACCAACCCAACCAGCCATCTTCCAATGAGCCTCTGGAAGAATGGCCGTTTGTTTTTGAGATAATGCCGCACAAATGGGCTTCCGAACCAGTGGAACATTCTTCAGACTATTGGGGTTTCAGAAGTTTCCGAACAATGGGCAGTCCTCATGTTAGCATGCTAAAATGCTAAACTAAGATACTAAATATAGTAAACATTATACCTTCTCAGCATCAGCATGCTAGCATTGTTAATATGAACATAGCATGACATTAGCATTTATCTCAAAGCTCTGCTGTCCCTGAATGCAGCCTTACTGAGCTGTTAACATAGCTGAAATGAAATACACCTCAACACACTCTCTCACTCCTTTTAATATATGTTTTTCATTTAATTATGATTCAGTAAACACATACATAAAAAATATGTGTGGTATTTCACTGTATTTCTTTGATGTGATTTCATTTAGATGTTTCAAATCTTCCATACTGAACTTGCCAGGCTGTTTTGTTGATTCTTCTCGTCATATAGAGTGGAAGTTGGCGTGTGTCAAAGTAGAACTCTGATCTGGCTTATACAGAATGTGTGTTTCTCAGACACACAGTACAGTGGACAGATTCAAATACAGAACTGTGTGACTTTATTTCCCATACCCAAACAGCTGACCCACCAAGTGACCGTCCCAGGATTCACAGTAGCAACAGGACAGAGGCAGCGGAGCTCGGTATGTGTGTCCAGATGTGCTAATCCCATGGCTATCAGGGTTAACAACTTGTTCAGATGTTTTAGATGGTTGTCACAAGAGGTCAACACTTTTACCATCATTATATGGCCATTATAATGGCCATATTTTTGTTTTCGTTGTAGGTCGGAGTCATACTCTGGTGTGTATTGTATATTTTCCTTTTGAGAGAGCATTTTCGTGGGAGGTGCAGTGGTACATGAATTATGGTGGAAACATGGAGAATATGACTCTACTGCCCATGGAGAAGCAAAAGTGAGTCACTGCAGACCCATAGCAATGTCTTTTTTTATGCAGCACCAACATTTCCTGGTTAGATTTTGTAAAATTGTAGACATGATCATTCACCTTGGCTTGCATTATAAGTGTTCATTGGGAAATAAGGGAGCTGAAATTCTTTCCCTGATCCAGACAGAAAATCGTGACACGTGAAGATTATGAAGTCATAAGAAGAGCCATCATAAAAGTGGTGAAACGAGAACACTTGAACAACACATATACCTGCATTGCCAGCAATGCTTTCGGAAGCTGCAGGATCACTGTCAAGCTTGAGGAGAAAATTAAAGGTGCTATTGTTTATATTGTCACTGTCATGTCTTTATTGTGTTCATGATGTATTTTGTCATAACATTATGTTTCAGCTCAAATAAATGTCATTGCTCATGCTGTTCATCCAATAGGTCAAAAATGTAACCAATCCAGCGAGGTCAGTGGTAACACATCCATAAGGCAATTTATTACTGAAGCCATTTTAAAGAGCATGTCAGTGTCTCAGCAACTTGACCTTTTGCTAAGCTCCGCCCTTTTGTGATGGTCCGACAATTAAGCTTCCAGAGTAAGCATGGAGCCCACACTGTAACTGCATTCCCTGTAGAATTATTATATTGTTGGAAAAAGTAAACAGTGATTCCAGAGAGAAGCAGACAGAGGGGTCTACAGTCTGTGTGTGAAGGATATATCCAGGATGTCAAACTGACTCAGCAGCAACAACAGGTTAAAAAGACAAAGATAGTTAGAAGCTAAAGCCGAACTATAGGCTACAGATCACAGTGTAAAAGTGAACCACCACATCACTGCTGATCGCCACAGAAGACAATGAATATAAAGGGAAACTTTGCTGATATTGAACCAGCTGTGTGGCATCACAGTGTGTGCTGATGAACAGTGTTTGGCTTCGCCCTCGTGCCGCTGCCAGGCAGGGATCTCTGGGGGAAGTCAAATAACTTTCACCTGCGCACAATGTGATAACACACAGCTGGTAGAATATCAGCAAAGTTCCCCTGCTTCCCTTCACTGGTTCCTGTACAGCAGGGTCGGTCTTTGTTTCACTGTTATAATCATTAAAAAAGCAAAAGCAGCATGTGTATACATTCAGTATGCTATATCTTCAGTAGCTAGCTAGCAAGCTAACCCTACACTTTTCAGGGTTTGACTTTGGTTTTGGAACAGGGAAGAAACGTATATCTGTTTCCAACCTCTCCAGGTAACAAGTATCATTAATACACGACGTGCCCCAGGCACAACATTTAGCTCCAAATCCACAATACCAGCCTGAAAATGAAGGAAATCTGAAACAACTGCATTAGAGTCAATGAAGCACAGCTGTGTTGTTGTTGGACCCTGGTCTGAGTTTCCCGATGCTATGTCATGACTGGCCAGTCTGCGTCAGGCAAAGTTAGAAACTAGCAATGAGGAAGGTGGTGGACATGGAGTGAATGTGAATACTGGACTTACAGTCATCAGGTGGACTCAAACAGGTCTCTATATGAATGCTATGTTGCTCTGTTTTTGCTGGGTGTGTAACCAAATAACAGTTTGAGAATAAGTTCACCATATCAACTTTATAAGGTAGTAAAATCTGTGTTTACAGCTCATTTATGCTGCCCCAAAGTCAATTATTGCTGATTTTATAACATAAGACAATCTAATGTGCATTTTTCTCTCTCTGGGTTTCAGGAAAATGGCCGTCTCTGGTTGGGTATCCCATTGTGTCCCTGTTGCTGGTAGCTGGACTGGGAATCATTTTGCATGTGAAATGGCTTGAAGTACAGCTTATCTACAGATCCCACTTCCAACACAGAAAACATGATGGAGGTCAGAATGCACATAATAATAATAACATGATAGTTCGGCTGTACTAGATATTTGATATATTCAGATTTATTTTTTTACAACTCTATTTTACAACAAGCCGCAAAAAACTAACGTTTCCGGAGTATTAGGTAAAATATCTGAAATTAGCCGACATTTTAACTTTTTCTTAACATAGTTCATCTAGGTGCAGTGTAATTACGAGTTTGGCTTTACTAGATATTTGATATATTCAGTAGATTTACTTTTTTACGACACTAATTGACAACTCTAATATCATTCATTCATTCATTCATCTTCTAACCGCTTCATCTTCTTGAGGGTCGCGGGGGGGCTGGAGCCTATCCCAGCTGACATTGGGCGAGAGGCAGGGTACACCCTGGACAGGTCGCCAGACTATCGCAGGGCTGACACATAGAGACAAACAACCACTCACGCTCACAACTCTAATATCTTTAAACTGATATTTGTATGTTGTTAAATGTTTAATTATCTTGTACTTTGTATTTTATTGTATTTTACTCTGTAAGGTGACCTTGAGTGTCATGAAAGGTGCCCAGAAATAAAATGTATTATTACTATTAAAACCAGAACAATCACAGTCCCAAAAATGCCATTTCTAGAGAACTTGCTAAAATATCTAAAATTAACCATCATCCTTTTCCTTTTTTCTTAACATATTTCATCTAGGCGCAGTGTCATTACTAGTTCGGCTTTACTAGATATTAGATATATTCAGCAGATATATCTTTTTACAACCCTGCTGCGTTAGTTAGCAAACATTAACGTTAGCTTACCTGTCCAGAAGGAAAGTGACAACCTCTGCGTGGCTTTTTAGCCCTTTTTCTGCCTTCAGCTGACACCAACAATCAAAAGCTGAATGGATGTTGATTCTGGTTTTGCTTCTCTGTTGGTCACCTAGAATTTGCAACGGATAGCGCTGGGACGACGCCATATCTCTGCAGCTATCACAATCTGGCAACCCTGAGCTCCCCCTCGTAACCAACATAACCAAATCAAAATATTGACATATTTTGGACCCGTCAAAATTTCTAAAACAATTATTTCTCTACTGTACCGGTAATTATTTTTTTCAGGAAAATATAGACTTTAATTCAACACCTTTCTAGACGTTCTATGGATGTTTTTTTTTTTTTTTTAAATATTCGTTTTGATTAAACAGCCATACATATGACCTTTAACCGAGATGACAATCTCACCACTCATTAATCTTATGCCTTGATCAAAGTGTTAGCACAGCTGCATGTATAATCTATTTCAATTTCTAATGTTTTGGTTTCAAAATTGTCTTTCGCATTCCCCATCACCACCAATCAGATGAGAAAGGGTTTGACGTGTTTCTGTCGTATGTGTGGAGCCCTCCCTCAAAACCGGTGGAGGGAGTTTTGACCCTTTCCTACCAGAAAGGACCTGACACTGATGAGGAAGGTAGGGCAGAATGTTCAGGTGATATCAGGATTCAATTCTCAGGGAACTATAAGTTAATTAACAATTGCTTTTAATGGCAGCACGTTTATCCAGCATGGACCTGCTGAGCACCGAGGAGGGTAAAGCCAGCCAGGGGCCACTGGAAGTGCTGCTACCCAGAGTGTTAGAGGACCAGTGGGGCTACCGCCTCTGTCTGCCAGAGAGGGACATGCTCCCTGGAGGAGGTCAGAGGATTGACTCTGTGTGTGTGTGTGTGTGTGTGTGTGTGTGTGGACTGAAAATGTTGCTGATGGTTTCCACTTGTATTGCAGCATACACAAACGATGTGGTCCTTGCAATACAGAGAAGCCAAATGCTCATCTGTCTCCTGTCGGCTGACTACCTCTCCAACAGCAATGCTGTGTTTGAACTGGAGTCGGGAGTCCAGGTAGGCAGACGTTAGAACAAGAGCTAAAGACTACAACTTCTAACTTCCACGTCCCATTACTACTGGGAAATGTATCTGAAATTGGTCCAGTATTGAAAGCGACCGTTGCAGCCAGCAGCCACGAAAACCGCTGCAGTGTAATTCCTACGGGCAATTATGCACCATCAATGTACATCCACTAAAAGTTCTTGGTTTTGCACATTTGCATTCTGGCTCAGATTATTTGAAGTGCCTGACAATAGTACAAAAAAGGTCCCATCGGGAAATGAAACATTTTCCCTCGCCACTTGCTGATACAGTCTGTTTGTCAATGTGTTTTCACAGTCAAAATCAGCTAAACAGTCAGCCATGACTTAATAAGCTTTCAGATACAAAGCTATCTGTACACAACAAACTCTTCCTGGCATTTTTCTCTCCAACTCTAACTTATGTTTCCACTGTTGTTTTTTTCTGCAACAAGTCACATCTTTCAACATTTCAGAACAAGATTTGGTTACGCACAAAAACAAACAGACCGGATCGGGCCAAAGGGAAAGAAATACATTTAATTTCTCTGTAGGGTCCTCTCCGTAATGTTGTCACACACTTGTAACAGCAATCTCAGCCTGTCAGGAGGAACAACAAGCACTTTTAATGAAAGTAAATTGATGGTGCACAACTACACTGGGGGTTACACTGCAGCACTCTCCCTCAATACTGGATCTATTTCAAAGAGTCCAGGGTAAAACAAACAAACAAAAGTTTTCCAGATTGCATTTGCTTTACTGCCAACCACTTTCCTGACATTACTTTAACCTTTCCCATTATTGTTCTCCTTTCCTGCCAGTCACTTTTTTTCCATTTTGTTTATTGCAAGAAATTATTGTCTTCTTGGCTTGAGTTCCCAGCAACATAAATCCTGAATGAACTTCTAACATAACCTCATTGGTTTCATTTTATCAATTAAGTGGCATTAACTGACACCAGTAGGTGTTTGGGTGTGGTTTTCTTTGATGATAAATCCACTTTAGATGGGTTTTTATTTTAACCAACATCTTTACAGTTCATTCAGAAAAACACAATTCATTACTGATTTTTCTTCTCGGTCCATATCTTTAGGCTTTGCTGCAAAAAACTCCCCTCAAACTCCTCCTAATATGGACCAGTAGAGCCTCAGCCTCCCTCATCCAGCCAGAACCACCGCTGCCTACACTGGTCCAAAGGGCCCTGAGGGTTCTACCCAGTCTGGATTGGACCGCAGGCAAACCAGCTAGAGCCACCAGCCATTTCTGGAGGTCTTTGAGGAAGGCCATGCCTGATCAGAGAGTGAAGCTGGTTTCACTCACGCAGGACCGATGATTAGACTGTTACCAAAAGCATTATTTTCCGAGCATTATATGTACAGCTTATTTATTTTACCATACAGCTTGGAATACGGCATTCTGCCCACTGAAGTGCAAGACGTGAATGAACAAATGTGTAAAGGTAATTTCCGTGATGGTAGTGATTCTAAAACAAGTCTCATTTTTACTTGTATGGAGAAAAGTGAGTCACACTTTATGCCACACTCAGGGTCCAGTCATGGTCTGTGCTCTGATTTTTGACTTCCATTTGAATGAAAATTAAAATGTTTATTAAAAAAGTGCAAAATTATCAATTACCTATTCGCTTTACAAGAATTATGACTGTATCAGATAAAGGGTTTCTTCTTGTTCACTGATTAACAGGCTGTTTGTATATTAAGTGCTGAGGTGTGGTTCATCATGTAATGTCACAGCAGACATGTCAGCAATAAACATTTGACACAATACAAATCATCCAAAAACTTTATTTGGCTGACTTACAATATGTGGGGGAACTGTCTGATAAAACATGTTGTAGCAGTGGATATTAACATGATTCATTTGGGGAAGCACAACGGTCAGGTAACCCACAGAAACTCGAGTTTATAGATTTGTATGTGGGATCAAAAGGGAGTTTCCAAAAAGTGTCAGGCACAGGGGGAGTCACTGAGGTACCACATTTATCTGAAATGTAGGGATATTTCTGCAGTGTGGGCTTTCTGATGTAAAAATAGATCATAAAAGTACCTAATCATTGCCAACCTGTATTTTAACCCCTTGGAAATTATTCAATATGAGTGTTACCAGCCTCTGGTATATGTTTGACAGGTGTCAAATAAAAACACATTAGCAGTCCTTCCACTGTGAACATAAAAAAGATCACAGCCACATTTTTTTGCCAGTTTCAGTGAAGCAGACAGAAATACAAATTAAATCCAGAACTACTGGCACAAACCTCACACTAACATAAAACAAAATAAACTGCCAGTGACGTGGCACAGCTGGTGAAAACAAAGGGTTGTACATTGATTTTGAGGAAATGAAAAAAAAACAACAAAAAACTAACCCATCCACACACCTAATCTTAGCCACGCGCGCGCACACACACACACACACACACACACACACACACACACAGTAACATAACTCTCAAACACCCTTCGTGGATTTAAAAAATAAAACATCACAATTCTATGTACATTTTTACACAAAGATTTGACAAGCGACACTAAGGGCTTGCTCGGGACAAAACCCAACCAGCTTCAGATAGGAACAAGTATGTCACAAAAGGGGCATGAGGGCTCTAAGATGCTAGATTAGCTCATTAGCCAGCAGAAACAACCGTTGCAAAATTTACACAGTTTAAACAATATTCTGGCTAATTCGTTTGTCCCATATCTCCATCACCCCACTATGCACCTCTCATCACAGAGTGTTGACACACTGGTACCTCTCCTCTTAGTTAGCATCAGCCGGTAGTGGTCAGAAACTTAAACGTGATTTCATTTACAGAGCATCATATTAGGCTTAAAGTATTCTTCATCTCATGTTAACAACGCAGAGAACTTGTCAAAACCAAGGCTGCAGTGAGGAATCATTTGAGCCTTCTTAGATATCCCTGACATGCTTTGAACTATGTAAAATTATCTATTAGTGGCAAAAACTGTGGTAGTGATTTACAGTTTGTCTGCCTGGGCCTTCATCTTCCTCTCCCAAAGTTTCTGATGATCAGAGAAACCCTGCTTGCCCTTGTTGAAGGAATTGGGACCCGCAGATGTCGGCGTCTCCCTAAAAAGACAGCAGATGAATCATTTCACAAATAACTAAATGTACCATTTGGTTTAAAAGAGTTAAAAAGAAGAAGCTGAGCAAACAATTATTATTACACCATATGTATTTGAGTATATACCTGCCAATATTCTTCATCCTCATCTTTGCTTCTGGAGGCATCTCCTCAGGTTCACTCTGCATGGAAAATTAAGGTAAAGTCAGCCTCTTCATATTTGCTGTTGAGGGATTTTTACAACTATGACATCACTGTGTGTGCGCGCACACACACTTACATCATCATCTTCATTAAAAACAGACGCCAGCCCTGCCTTTTTCGGAGGAACTATTGGTGCAGGCTCTTTGGGTTTCTAGAAGAGATTGTGGACACAAGATTTAGGGAAATGGAAGAGCATCACACTTCTTCACTCCATGCATCAAGGGCAAAGGACCCTCTGGTTAAACTCTTCAAATGTGAGGATGTGCAGCTTTGACTTAATTGATTTATAAATTAATTATATCAATCGATAACTAATTGTTCAAACAGTCTGTGTTCACGCTGTTACTGTGCATTGCTACACACTCACTGTTGCTCCAAGTTTGATAGATATGGGGTTGGACTTCTTCCCCATCTGACCGCTCATGCTAAAGCCTATCTTGGAGACTTTGCGGGGTGCAGGTGGATCCGCTGAGGACTCGTCCTCATCTTCAGGTGTGAGATGCTGGGATGTGCGTTTGACTGCGGCCCCTTCTCCTCCCACATTGCTACAAGAGACAGGCTTAGTTTTCACTCTGCCTTCCTCCTCCTGCGGCCCTGCTTGAGGCAAGACAACTCACCAAGGTGAACAACTGTTTCCTGGGAACTGCGGAATAATAATAAAAGCTATCACCTTTACCTGTGTGGCTAACGTTACATTTAACTTAACCAAATATAACCTGGGCTGTTACCATTTTTCTACCACTTAACTTACTGCTTTAAATGTCCACCTGGGGACAGTGTGTAGAAACCACCTACATTATCAGGGGTTAAGTGCACCCGTGAATAGTTACAGTGCGCAGGATAAAAGCAGACAATTTAAATTGTGTTAAGCTATTTGCACACTAGCTAGGCTAACGCCAGGTTAGCAAGCTAACAAGAGACGTGTCTGCTGCAGGCAAATCTTTGCTTTATTAACTAACTAACGTTTGCTTTCGCAGTAATTTTAGCCAAGTAGTTACACCCTGTGCCGTTTCCATAGCCAAACAGGAAACGTTTATACAACGTAAACTGGTACTTCGCATTAGCATTAGCTAGCCAATGATGCTGTAGCTAACATTAAGTTAGCTCAGTGAAGTTTTACGAACGGGCCTCTGTGTAACATTAGCCGGGGTCAGTTTTAATGGATAGGTAGCAAATCGAGCTAAGACTAAACACTGTTTGTTTTTCAACCACATTTTAGACGTTCAAACAGCACAAATATCACCTCCGTCGTCGGTGCCACCTCTCCTGATATGCTCGTAATCCGCCATGATTTCTCCTCTGAAACCTGGCAGCTCATGCCGCTAGTCTTCTTCAGGCGCTGTGTGCCAAACACGCTGCGAAGAAGAAGAAGAAGAAGAAGAAGAAGAAGAAGAAGAAGAAGAAGAAGAATGATTTTTTTTTTTTAAGATCAATATTGGCAGGTCTCTTTTTCTGATTATATAATAATAATAATAATAATAATAATAATAATATGTATTATATACTAATGGGTCAAAGATTGAGAACATCAAACAACTGGGGCTGATTTTCAGTCCAAGAAAGAAAAGTTATTAGAATAACGCGTAGGCCTACACCAAATTGACAGGAAGTCGACTCTGGAATAAGCCTGGAAAATCTGCCCTGACTCTGTTTTGTGTCTGTAGAGCCAGAGATTTCAGTTTCAGCTATCAAGATATTTCAGTCAAAGTGTTACATGTAGGTTATGTTCCAGAGTTATTCATCAGTTATGTTTATCAGGGGTCCTGCACATGCAGGTCCCATAAGACAAATCAGATGTCAAGGAAATAAAGCAGTGTAGGCTAATCATCAGTGTCAGGGCAGTGAAGCTTTAAAATTGATGGAAGGTTTCTGTGCAATTTTATATTTCCAGAGACTTACTTAATATAAGCCAGTATTCAGTAGGGGCCAGATCAGATAATGGGGTAGTACCTGGAGGCCAGATGCTTCTCACATTAAATGGGTTATTAAAGAAAAAAACACAGACAAATTCAACTGTTTGACCTGTCAGTGAAAATGTAGGCCTGTTTAACCTTACCTTGCGCCTGAGAGCAGCTGCCTTCACTGTGACCATTTCTGCTACACAGCAGGAAATGTTTGCTGTTAGGTAACTGTTCTGTTTGCTTCTTCACCTTCTGTTTATGAAAACAATTCCACCTGTGCAGTGCCTATTGGATGCACGTCTACAGGCTGTAGGGTAGTCCTACTATTGTGAGGTGAAGGGAAAAAATACAAAGTAATCTTGCTTGATATATTGTGTGAAGGGCCACATGTAGTATATTTTGAAAGTCAAGCTGAGGGCCTTTTAAAATTGGTCCGTGGGCCACAATTCACCCCTGGGTAGGACTCTGGACATGCCTGACATAAGCAAATCAGGGAAAGAAGTTGTCATTTTCAATGAAAACATTAAAAAGCACACTTAAGATTATAGGTACAGTAAAGCTCCAGTGAAAAGCCTTGTCCCAATTAAACACCCAGTCCCTTTTACTAGCCCTGTGTAGCTATTTGACAAATAAAGGCCTGTCTCAATTAGACACCTGGTCTGGTTGCCAAGCAGTTCATTTTTACATAAGTTCTTTGGATGTATAACATCACGTTGTTGACTACCCACTTGTGCTCGTTAGCTGCTTAGATTGTGCATACAAATATAAATGTTTAAACTTTTATCAATATGGAGATGCTACACATATTTAGCTTGGTTGAGTTAATTTTACTAAAACCATGAGCACCAATGAAGATCACAATTAATTCAGATTTACCGGCATGACAAAAAAACAACATAGTGACTACCTTCCTCTGAAGCTGTCATTAAACCACTGATCAAAAGATTAAAACGTGTTTTTCATAAAAAATTAATCAAAATTATGAATATTGTTTTGATAGGATAAAGTGGTGCTGTGTCAGTGTGCCAGGTACTGTAATCCACAGGTGCTGTGACACAAGTGTCATAATAACAGACATAATTAATATGTTAATTCGAAGCCTAATTTTTATAGTAATATAAGTAATAATAATAAGTAATATTTACTTATTTATTGTTGCGCTCTGTTTCTTACCACTGGCCTCCACTTGTTTGTTAATTGTTGGTGTGACATGTAATGGCTGAATGTTGGCTGGTTATGAATGTAGACTCGGATGTGCTGCAAATGAATTGCCTTTCAGGGACCAATAAAGTTGTCTGAATCTGAATCTGATTAAACAATTTGATTGTATTTCCGCCTTTACTGAGCAATAGTTGTGTGTAAAAGAAATTAAAGGCCTGTCCCATGTAGACGTCTGTCCCTGATATAAGCCTGTTGAGTTCAGTGATTTAAACAAGCAGGAGTCTGTTGCTTGTATTAAGTATGAACAGGAAAGGCAATGTGTGAAAGAAGACCTCAGAAAGGCTTTAATTAGTATAAAAACATTAATGTACCTGTCAAGTGGACTAAGCGATGTCATTTTCTTTGATTGTATATTATACATCTGTGATTTTATCAAAGAAACAGCGTTAATGGTTCGGATTTAACCTCTGAACTACACCCATAGGCCGAGGGTGGCGCTGTTGTACTGTATAGGCTTGTTGCAAACCGTCGACGAAAACAAGAAGAAGAGGAAGATGGAGAACTATGACAGTAAGCTAATTTGGTAAACAGACAGCTAGCTGGTAAGAATAAAGGTGTAAAGCCACCAATTATAGCATAGGTGTGTTATGTTTAGCTGTTCATTGTGTCAGTAGTCAGTAAAAATTAGACTGCGGTTGTGGCTAACGTGTAAAATCTACGTTAACGTCGCCCTTTTGGTTGTTGTAGCCCTGAAGTTGCTAAGCTAACGTTAGATCTTGATGTGCTGTGTTAGCTAACAGTAAATGTTTGTTGACATACTGTCAGTTAGCTGTCTTACCATATGTTTCTCTACAAAGGACATCTTGCAGTTTACTTTCAGTAATACATGTTTTAGCTGACATCGCATGATTTTATGTATTCTTCTGGCTGTTCGTCTCAAATAACTTTCTTTGTCACATTTCCCCCAGGCCCTTAAAAGCTTGGCGTTAAACAATGTACCAGTCAAGATGGGGCAGACCCTTTGCATTTGCTCCCGTGGTTCCGTCACCATTGATAACAAAAAATATTACTTTGTCCAGAAACTAGACGAAGGGTAAGAAAACGTGTTGACATTGTTTGTTTTAAACACCACTTAATTCTACCTTTTAAGGTAAAGTGTAGTGGTGTTTTATATTTGCTTGTCACAAGTCCCTTAAAAAGACGAAAATCAATCGATCCTACAAGCCAAAGCTTCATTTAGCTTATTGCTCTGATTGTTGTCCAAAAACCACAGTACTCAGTCTCACTATTCCTGCGGGTGACATCTTCCTTCATTAGCATCAGCATGGGCAGTGTACACCGATCAGCCAAAACATTAAAACCAGCTAACGTAAAATAAGCTAACGCACTGGTGCCAGGCACCAAGGGACACCCTCCAGAGGTACTGTGTCCATGCCTTAACAGGTCAGAGCCAAGTCCAGTCCAAGGAGCACCCACCGTGGATTGGGGGTACCTCTGGGGTACCAACACATCCCTCAAATGTTCGATCAGGTTGGGATCCGGGGTATTTGGAGGTCAGGTCGACGCCTTGAGCTCTTTGTCCCTTTCCTCGGGTTGTGCCTGAGCAGTTTTTTGGTGTGGCATGGTGCATTGCCCTGCTGGGGGGCCACTGAACATCGATAAGTGCCGTTGCCATGAGGGGGTTTGTTTTGTCTGCAACGGTGTTCAGGTGGGTGGAGCACGTCAAATAGTATCCACATAAATGCCAGGACCCAAGGTTTCCCAGCAGAACGTTGCACTGTAACAAGACGATCAGTGTTATTCACTTCACCCAAGAGTGGTTTTAATGTTTTGGGTGATCATTGTATATTACCTTCAGTAAATCCTACATATACTGTCCTCCGGCAATAAATACAAACTAGCACACCAAACCTCATTTGAAAATAATCCTCATAGAATACACTGTTTATTCTCCTGTGAGAAACGTCTCTGAAAGGTGTTGTCCTTGGCTGCTTTGGGGTAATATTTAGCCTTTGAAAAACCTTATAACTTTATATTTGTGACCTCTTTCCAAAGATTGATCCCTTCAGTAAAAACAAATGGGCTTGTGTCTGAGAGTCACAGACAAGCAAGGGGAGGTCAGACAGTATTGAGAGACTGACAAATACATTGTTGATTTTGGTCTTTTTGTGGGACTTGTTGACAGTATCAGAAATCTGGAATAGCACTGGCCTTATTCTTTGAAGTCAAATTTGGATTCATATGCTCCTCCCGAATTCTAATCTCTCTGTGTCCTCGTTTTAGGGGGTTCAGTTATGTTGATCTGATAGAGGGGGCAAAGGATGGGCGCTTCTACGCCCTGAAGAGGATTCTATGCCATGATCGTGAAGGCCGTCAGGAGGCTCAGACAGAGGTGGAGATGCATCAGATGTTTAATCACCCCAATGTCTTGAGCCTGGTTGCACACGCCTTTGTCGATCGTGGAGGCAAGACTGAAGCCTGGCTACTTCTGCCCTATATTAGAGTAAGTTGATGCAACAGTTAGTGTGACCAGACTAACCCTGAGGGAAATGATCTGATTCCGATAACTTGTTGTGTTTGTGTGAACAGAAAGGCAGCCTGTGGTCTGTTCTGGAGAAGCTAAGGGACAAGGGGAGCTTAATGCCTGAAAAACAGATTTTGCAAATCTTGCGTGGCATCTGTGCTGGACTCAAGGCCATTCATGAAAAAGGCTATGCACACAGGTAATACATGTCCACATACACACACATATGTCAAATATTTACATGCATAGGATCAGTGTAAAGACTCTTGTGCTGGCTTGGAGTGCCACACTAGTGTCTAATTTCTGGACATTTGCACACCCTGCACTGTGATTAAAAAGCAGAAACAGATGTGCCAGGACTAAACTATTTATAAACTATTTAGTAATTATAATGTTTTGTGGATTCATTGGGGGAAGAGGGTGGCGGAGTTTGAGCCATTTTCAACCTATGAAATGCAGATTTAAAAAAAACAAAAAAACAAAACAGGTACGGAATGTCAATAATAACAACATTGAAGTTTCATTACAGTACAGTCATATCATCTAGTTCTACACCTCAAAAAACACATTTAAGTTTGCAGCACCTGTTTAATATTGATACGATGAGCTCACCTATCTTAGCTCACTAGAATGGTTGACACCAGACACCATACAGATAAGAATAATTAGCATTTTATGGTTTTGGATGAGAATTTATAGCTTTGCTCTGAGTCTGTTTTACGGAGAATGGAGGATGTGCCTTTTTCCAGAAACACTGGACGCTGCTAAGCCAGCACCAGCATATCTGCAGGCTAGTTTAGGTCTTGCCTCATGAAATTATCCAAAAACGAAATACCTGATAATTTTATTACATTTTTTATTGGCACTAAATCTCTCTAACAGGGAGACATAATAATGAAAAAACGCGTAGAGTCTAAATATGGATTACTCATAGTGCTCAAAATGGACCTCCAGACAATCAGCTCTGGCACTAAGCCTAATTTCTGCCAAATGAATCCTGCACATTGTTAAAAAAGGGGGAAAAGAACTGTTGTCAGTTAAAGGTTTTGCAGCCCTTTGCCACATTGTGCGTTTTATCAATCAAGTCAAAATGGCATGATTTGTAAACCAGTAGCTCAGTCCATAGGGACTTGGGTTGGGAACTGGAGGGTTGCCTGTTCGAGTCCCCGTCCGGACCAAAATATGGAGCGTGGACTGGTGGCTGGAGAGGTGCCAGGTCACCTCCTGGGCACTGCCGAGGTGCCCTTGAGCAAGGCACCGAACCCCCCAACCGCTCGGGGCGCCTGACCAAAGGGCAGCCCCCTCACTCTGAGATGTCTTCACTTTGTGCATGTATAGGTCCTGTTTGTGCATGTGTCTTTCGGACCTGTGTGTAATTGACAAGCAAGAGTGAAAACATTGAATTTCCCCTCAGGGTGATTAATAAAGTAAATAAACTTAAACTTAAACTTAATGCAGAATTACATTCAGTTTGATTCATTTGATGGTTTTGGGTAGGGCTGGGCGATATGGCCTAAAACAAAAAAACATATCCGATTCATGATTTAAATCGATTTTTTTCCCCCCTACTTAAAATCAATTTTCAGAAAAATATTTGTGGCCTTGTAGCAAGTACCTGGGGTCCAAAACTTTCACCATTTGAATAAACCCCGGCTTTTCCACGGTATATATGGGCACCATATTTCTTGCAATATACATTGCGACTGCAGCCATGATCGCTTTTCACCGGGCCCCTTTGTTATCATACAGCAGTGTTAAGAAAAGGCGGTGGCGGCCCCCTCAATATAATAGTATATTAAGCGTGCGGGGGGGGTTTTAGATTTTTTTTTAGATTTTAAAGAGAAACTCAATTTTCATTAAAACAAATCAACCTAAACTACAAATTCGAATTAATTGATAAAATCGATTTATCGCCCAGCCCTAGTTTTCGGTAAAAAAAATCTGTGTGGAATGTGCAAAAAATGTGGATACTTAAGCTATTATATCAAACCATCTTTTAATAGTCATATTATCCCTTACTCACTTTTCAAAATGGCAGCTTTTTTTGTTCTTTTTTTATACCAACCCAATTGCAGACTTCTGAACACTATGTGTGCTGAATGTTATGTGTCTGTTGTAATTCAACAGAGATCTGAAGCCCACAAATGTGCTTCTGGATGAGGATGACAGGCCTCTTCTGATGGACCTTGGCTCTATGAACCGTGCCAGGATTGAGGTAAGGGCACAGTCTGTTCTTCATGTAACATCACAACTATGACGCTGTGTGGTTTATGAGATGGGACTCTCAGTGTATAATAACAGAGTTCAGTGCCAGTGTCCATTTTTGTAACATTATATGTGTTATCTACAAAAAAAGGGGGTTTTAAGATTAAGACAAAGCGATCCAAACGAGATAAGACAAATGGCCTGCAATATCGGGTGATGTCTAACCACCAAATATTGTAAAAGAGAAATGCATATGTAGCCATGACACTCTCTCTGGCTCCTACTTTCAAGTCCACTGCCAGTGATTAACACCTCAGTACAACTAGATTACGATATGACCATAATTTTTTAGCTCTGTAGATTATTTCAATCAAATATTTTAAAATAACCATACTGTGCTTGATGGCATTTGATTATTTTTGTGATTTATTTGGAACTTCCATATAAAAAACCCACAACTCCCTCACATGAAACAACACTTGATTTAAAATCAAAAGACTAAATACAGTAAAACTAAAATTCTTTAATGAAAGCTTTAAGGCTCTTGAGAACAATAATTTCAAGGAAGGCAAGGCAGTTTGATTTGCTAGATAACACAACAATCACAAGATAACGCAAGAATCTAGCCCATATTTGCTACATAGCCTGCCCTGAATAGCTCCCATGGTTGAAATGGTATTGCCTCTCTCTTGGTTGACACCTTTCTACCATTACATGGTATACATACCGTCATATCACCCAGGCCAAGTTGCAACACATCAGGTCCTTGTGGGTTTTACTAGATAGCAGAGTAACATTTTTAATGCTAATGAACGGCATTAAAATACCATGCTTCACATCCTTAAAATGTATTTTTATTTTCAGCTGTGTATGTTGTTAAAGGCCTGTCCTCTGAACATCAGGTCCTCTAAATGATCCACACTATTTCAGGTTAGAGGAACCAGAGAAGCCATGACCATACAGGACTGGGCAGCGCAGCGGTGCACCATTTCCTACAGGGCTCCTGAACTCTTCAATGTAGAGAGCCACTGCATTATAGATGAGCGCACTGACATCTGGGTAAAGCCTTGTCTTCTTTATCTTTTGTGTGTTGTGCATTTTGTGACATCACTTGACCAGTTGATTGACATCATTTAGCATCTGAAACCAAGCACTAACGTTACTGTGGATCATTCATTGACTACTTCTTTTTCTCGTCTTTGATGTCTCCCATTCTCCTCCAGTCACTTGGCTGTGTGCTTTACTGTATGATGATGTTGGAGGGGCCGTATGACATGGTATTTCAGAAGGGGGACAGTGTTGCCCTGGCTGTCCAGAATCCAGTGACCATCCCACAGTCTTGCAGGTCAGTCTTCAAACTAGAAAACAATCTTACAGTGTAACATGAGGAAAGTTTCCTGACAATGTGTTAGTTTCTGTTACTGCTCTGGATAGTGGTAGATCCCACCATTTTTTCCATTGGTTAGTGTGTGTGTATCAGCTGTTAAAGGGCCAGTGTATAATATTTGGCATGGTTTATTGTCAATCTGAATCTGAATCTGAATATTCTACCCATTAATATGTTTATATAAGTGTATAATCGCTATAAAATAAAATTCGTTTGGTTTTCGTAGCCTCATAATTATGCTTTTATACATATATATATATATATATATATATAGCAAGGGCCTTGCTTTAGAGAGGTCGCCATCTTGCGCCGCCATGTATGTACGGCAGACCGAGCGGACAATCCAGCCAGCCAGAGAACGCATTTCGCGTGTATAAATAAACCAACGAAGACAGCGGAAGGAAGGAAGAAGGAGGAAACAGCAGAGAGTGTTAGGAGTTGGTCGATAGAGAGTAGTGAAAAGTTTTTTTTAGTTATAAAGTTTGCGAATGGACCACACTTACCACGCAACAGGAGAGAATGAACCCGAACCATCATCTGCGAGGAAAAGAACAGGCAACTTCACTCCTTGTGATGCACTCTCTGTGGCGCTTTTCCTCCTGATGATATATCTCCCCAACAATGGTAGCACCAAATCCCATTCTGTGCATTCAGCCTCTCTTCTCGCCCGCTCAGCATCAAACACATGGAGTTCCTCATCTGTGTACTCCGGCTCAAACAAGTATGGCTCTGGGTCTGTGTCCGCTACAAGAAACTCTTCAAAATCGCGTTCAGAGTCGTCCATTGCTGCTACTATACTCCGGAGATATTGCTAGGCTAAATAAACAGCTGAGCTCTGTTTACCGGCTACGCTGTCAGTCAGTGTGCGGGCTGGAGATTGGTGGAGCAGAGAGGGGAGGGGGTCCCCACTCAGTATGGTAAACAAGTATGTGTGTATGAAGTGTGTCTGTTACGCTAGAAGAGTCAGAGTTTGGGACGGCGTCTTTTACCCCCTGGAGTGTTACCAGAGTTTTTGGAGTGCTCAAATAAATGGGCCTTTTTCCCGAACGCTCCTCTGGTCTCCTGCTCGTGAGGGATTCATTACAATATCGTAACATGGTTTTGATTTCTAAATAAATATTCACCTCGTCGCTAGATAGACCTACTCCTGAAAAACTCATGCGCAAGGCTTTTTGTCCCTACGAGGCCACCGTCATTTACCCGATGGGAGGGGTGAGTGAGTGAGCCCTGCAATCTAGAATTTGACCACTGATGTCACTGTTTTCAACCCATTTTACACACTGGCCCTTTAAGGACATAGTTAACAGCAGTCTGACTTATCAAAGCAGTACAAACTAACTGAATGTAGTTTAATTTCTAACTGAACAAAAATGCAACGTGAAAACACAAGTTGAATTTTTATGTTAGTTTTTTTTTTGTTGTGTATGATCTCATCTCTGTCCTTGAAACCTGACTTCCTACAGAATTCATATTGATGATGATCCTGTGATTGATGTTAGTGATGCACGCTTGTGCTAAAGTTTAAAAGTATAAATATGGATCAAATTTAAGTTGCTGTAATTTGATGTCTGTTTGTCCTGTGACCAGTTACTCGGAGGGTCTGCAGATGCTGCTGAGTTCCATAATGGTGTCAAATCCCCAGGAGAGACCAAACATCAGCTGGGTTCTTGACCAGGTACAGGACCTGCAGAGTCGCAGCCCCAACACTCAAACCAACATGGTCTGATCTTGCACGGTGCACTGGATGTCGGGTGTTGGAAACCTTTGCACACAGAATTGAACGTCTGTTATGTTGAGCTTGAAAATGTTTATTTTATTTGTTGACTTTAGTGTAAAAACCTAGGTGCAGACTTTCACTCAGTTTGGGGAGCTTGGCAACAGCATAAGCTTTAAATCCGACCTGTGTAGACTCTTGTATTCCTCATAGACTTAAATTATAAGAAGATTTTGAAATGCCTTAAATGTAATTTCACCCTGCAATGCAATCATTTTTGGCAAGGGTCAACTGTTTCCTCCAACAGTGAAGTGGCTTTATCTTGTAATCTTAAAGGGATAGTTCAGCATTTTGCAAAATACACTTAGTGCTTTTTCCAAGAGTTACATGAAAAGATAGATACCACCCTCGTGTCCGCCCTTTTATTGTGAAACTGGAGCCGGCAGCCTGTCAGCTCAGCTTAGCATAAAGAAATGGGGCTTGCCCACCTCTGTCCAAAAGTAACACAATTCTAAAAAAGAAAAAGTTCTTAAAGTAACTAATTATGAGACCTGGTGGTTCTCTTGTTTTACTCTAAGTTTTTTTATGTATTAGACAAACTAGATATTACATGTATGATCAGAGAGCTTTATAGATGCTTTTAGGCTGCTTTTGTTACTTTTAGACAGAGCCCGGCTAGCTGTTTTCCCCCCTGTTTCCAATCGTAAATGTAAGCTAACCAGCTGGCTGTAGCCTTGGTGAATAAGCTCATTTCTAAGTATGCGTTACAAAAAAAGTTGTCACTTGCATTATTCTCAACAAGAAAAGGGATAACGTAAAAGCTGTGCCAAACTTTCCACTGTATGAAAGCTACCTGAGCTCAACACATATCAAATTCCATTCCCTACCAAGAAGGAATATGGTCCAGTTCCCTTTATTTTTGTTCTCCTGATTCCTGAGGTTTGTGTGTGTAACATCTTGTGGTTACACACGAGTGCTGTATTCAACAACTTCGCCTTCAGCTTTTCTCCACACCTTCACTCGTACTGTTTGTCTTTACTTGGGGGGAAAGCGAAGAGGCAGAGTGCTCCTCACCTGCAATGCTGCATTTGAACACACAGAGGTGCTCCACCATCACAGTCCCCTGCTCCACACATTGATGTGATGTTTCTGACTGTACGGTTTATAATGTGTGAATGGGCTCTTAGCTTACACACACAAAAAAAAATCTTCAAGGAGAAGGGTTCAGGTGTAACTGTAACATACCTTAACTGCAGAAAATGAACTTTTAATTAGTTTAAGGAATTGCTTCTTTTTATTAAGTAAGTCAGTGTCATATCTGCCTGCAGAGTCTAACCTTCACTTTTCACTGTATTGTGTTTTTAAACTGTATTTTCCATTTCAGCTATGCTTGTGTTAAATTCTAGGTTTCCTGTCGTATGAATGGGGTCTCACACTTTTGTTCTCTCAGGGTTCAGCCACATCTCAAAGGGTCCGACAGTCTGAAGTATAATAGACCTAAATGGTACCTTTTAACGTGATTATTAGATTAAAAAAAATAATACTTTGGGCATTTAACTTAACATTAATGCTTTTGTGACTCTGTATTGCGATGATGATGGACCATATTAGAACTTTAAAAAAAATCCTTGATTGTTAACTTATTCAGTTAATTGTTGGAGCGGTAAATGACATACTGTTTAAATATGCTGACTATGAATTCTTGTGTTGTTGTCGAGGGCGAACTAATACTGGTATCAACCAGATGGTAAACAAAGGATTTTTTAAAGTGTGCTGATGGAGTTAAAAAAATATTAATAAGTAAGAGTGTGTTATTTGATTATGGAAATTTCTGTTAAGTTTGTTTTAATTTTATTCACTGCACAGTAAAGGATAAATAAACATTAAATATGTAGCACTCTGTATACAGTTTTTAATATAATTGTGAAATAAAATGGCATCCTACATTAGTTGGTCAAGAAAGGTATGTGAATTAATACTCAGTTACCCGCAGTGCTTGGTCAGCATCATGAAATGTATTTGCACAGCAGCACTTGTAATTAGTTGCTGCATCGGGTTGTAAATACCTGGGGTTCAGCTACTTCTCACATCATTTAGGTTATTAAAAAAATCACATACAAATGAGACAAACGCAACTGTTAATCCTCCACTGAAAAAGTATTCAACTTTCCATCACTCCTGAAAGCAGCAGCCCTCACAGTCAACTTTACGCTTCTTTCTCTCTTTGCTTTTTTACTGTCTGTTTATGAAGACACACCTGCGTAAGTACCAATTTGTGCATGTCTATAAACTGTATGATGATCCTGCAATCTTGAGGCGAATGGAAAAAATGCAAAGTGATCTTGCATGATTAACTGGTGTTGTGTGTGAGGCCGTGGGTCTTTTAAAATGTGTTTACCGGCAACAGTTGGCTTGGGTCGGACTTACATGCCTGAGCTACATAAAATCAAGGATATGACTTTGAAACCTCCAGTGACAAAAATTTGCTGTAAAATAGGCAGTACTGAGGAGCTCAGTGACGTATTGTATGTTTCACAGCCACTAATGCTGTCTCAGCCACTGCTAGTTACATGCTAACAAACAAATAAAAAATGCTAACCACACGTCTGATACGTCTGCTAGTCGCCAATTTTGGTGCAAGAAGAAGAACCACTTGAAGCACAAGTCAAACGCAGGAAATGGGGCTGGATTGGGCACACCTTGAGGAAACCTCAACCATGACCAGACAGTCCTTATCCTGGAAACCACAGGGGAAAAGAAAGCCAGGAAGACCAAAGAACACCTGGAGAAGGTCTGCTGAGGCAGAACTCAAGGAATCAAGAACATCCCGGAAGGAAGCAGAGAAGATCGCCCAACACCGAACCAGCTGGAGAAAGTTTGTGAATGACCTATGCTCCCCAAGGAGCAAAAGGGTTTAAGTCAAGTCACTGACTGTTAGATTTGCTCTGGTCAGCTGTGAAGCAATAAGCCAGAAAACCTGAGTATTGAGGTGCGTGTAAAAATCATTTGTACTTTCTCAATACTCAACTCACAATGGCCAAACTTATTGGAGCTTTATGCCAAGTGTTTCCATGGCTGAGCAGTGGCACTCAGGTTGACATTCACCATACACAGTGCCAGTCAATTGGGCTAAAACACACCACCACTGAACTCTGGGGCAGTGGAAATGTGTTTGAGTGATGAATCGTGCTTTACTATCTGGCAGTCTGATGGATAAATCTTGGTTTGGCAGTTGCCAGGAGATTGATACCTCTCTGAATTCATAATACCAACTGTAAAGTTTGAAAGAGAAAGTACGGTCATATGGTTTGAGCTAGGCCCCTTACTTCCAATTAAGGGAAACCTTAATTTTATTGTATTGAAGACATAAGGGTGCCTTCAACATTGTGGCAGCACGGAAAACCCTTTCTGGTTTTAACTTTACATCGCCTCTAGAGAGTCAGGTCCACAGAGACATTGTTTTCCCAGTTTGGTGTTGAAGACCCTTACTTGCCTGCACAGACCTGAACTTGTCCCTTGAATTTTTCTGACGATTTTAGGGCAGACCTTACCGACAGAAGTTCCTGAATCTCCTCTCCAGTTTGACAGGGTCTTGACGTTTTCATGTAAATTACCTTTTTTCTTGGCTCTCGGTTGTGTGTATTCTTTCGGGTCACACCAGTTGCATGATAGAAATGTCATCAACACACCCACTTTCTGGCTGTGATTTGACCTGCTCTATTCACAGACATTACACAGAACTAACTGTACCATGGAGTCACACCTGGGTGATACGGAGGAAATCAAAAATGACATTATATATGACCAAATACCTCTATATTTATATATATGATGTACACAATGAGATTTTTGATAAATAATCATCTGTATTTTAGATATAATGACTGAGTGGTAGACGCAAATAATAGAACAGTCTGATAAGTTCAGAAAATTAAATTGCTTCACTGTAAAGCAGCTTTTGAAACAAGGAAAAGCAACACTTGCGTATATCTTAAATCTGAGACGATTCCTAGTCTCATCGATGTATTGATACAAAAGTATAACAGTAAAGTCAGTTTAATGTCCGGTCCAACTGATTTGGACGTACAGCTCCTCCAGGTAATGTCTGGATTAGTTTAGGTTTGCAGTACGTGTGTGAAAGGAACGTCTGACAGTGAGCCAGGCCTCATCACCAACATCAGTGCCCAACCTGACTAATGCCCTTTTGGCTGAATGGAGGCAAATCTCTGTAGCCAGGTTCAAAATCTTTTGTGAAACCTTCCCAAAAGAGTTATATCAGATTAAAATGTTTGGGTGTCCACATAATTTTGGCCATGTAGAGTAGCAAAGAATGCTACTAAAGGTGACATTTGTTCTTTTTGTATTTATATGTGTAAGCTAATGATATAGCAATATTTGTTAATCGCTTGGCTGTTAATTTAGTGCTTGTAAAAGAGCACGTTCAGTTTCACATCAAATGAGAAATACTTTACTTTTTAAATTAAGTTGGCTCAGTCTTAGATGAATCATCTCCCGTGGCAGACAAGCACAACCTTCATCTGACAGTATTTTGAGCGCCAGTGGCCATTCTCTGCGTCTGGCTGTGTGTCTGCGTGCGTGTGTCTGTGCACACATCCTTGGAAACAAATATCAAACTGCTCATGTAGCGGGATTTACAACCCTTACGTCCACTCAGATCAGTGAGATGTCACACTTCACTGCTGTCCCAATTACTTTCAAAGGTAATTTCGACCTCAGAAGGCAAACACACACACACAAACACAGACACAAATGACCGGTCATAAAGTATACAGAACATACCACATATTTACAGTGCATATGCCCTTTTATACACAAACACCCTAAGGATTCATTACACTTGAATTAATGATATCCCAGCTGATTTCTTCCTCAGGCCCACCTATGAATCCCAGACTCCCTTGGGAATGGGTCTAGGACAGAGCTGTGTTTATGAGCCCAACATCTGCCCACACACACACGCACACACACTCTTTTTATATTTACTATCATCTCCCTGTGAGGGGCTGAAATGATGTCATACAACACAAGCGCAAGGTCAGCTCAATGTTTGCATTCATTTTAGCACCAATTTCATGTGCTTTTGCTTATCGTTCAGTCAGGGGGTGCACTGGCAGTTTGGATCCTGTGTGTGTGCGTGAGTGTGTGTTTGTGTTTCATTTGTAACCCAACCCCAGTCCACAAACACACTTTAGCTCTCACACCATAAACCATCTGCAGGCTTTATTGATTTGGCAATGAATCAATTAGTGAATTATTTAATTAGCAAAGCATTATGGGTCAGTGCAGAGCTGCTCCCATCCTGCAGTGTTCCTAGGTCTCTTTAAATCATTTCACACATATGTTTTGGACTTTGTGTGGGTGTGAGCATGTGAGTGTTATCTGTGCAAATCACTGTGCAAAAGTTTACTAAATACGGAGAATTCGGACGTGATTCCTGCAAGACCTTGTAAAGTCGGCCAGTAAAGTTTCTGTTGTTACTTCCCAGACGAGGGATCCTATTTCTTTAAAGCTTTATGTGTACAGACCCAGAACTTTTGCTGTCACTCAAGTCCAAATTAGCCTTGGCTGCCGCTGAAAGAGGGAGAAATATGGACATTACGTCTGCCCCGTTGAGTGGATGAGTTATGACTTGTGTTCGTGATCGAGGCATTTTTTCCGTCCAGGGGCTTTCTTTGTGCTCATTAATTCATGGGAGTGTTTGGGTTAAAATGCATAATGAGTTCATTAAAGGGGATTGGCGTAATCAGGAAAGGTATTGCCTTAATTACTGGCTCAGGGCCAGATCTATCCGTTCTCTGTGAGATCGGCAACCCACCCTGTCGACAGAGCTCACTAATTTAATTAAGTGTACAAAATGCTACACCCTAACGTCGCCCTTGGGGGCAATTATGGCACTAGAGATTGAAAGATCTCCGCCGGGGGTATTTTACTTACTGGCAGGAGATTGCCTGTGTCAGTTAGCTGATTGCATTGATTATATTGATTTGTAACAGCTTTTCGGGTAATTTCATCTGCAAAGGTGAGAGCAACACGTTGGCCCGGGGACTTTTTTATTTATTCTTTCTTTATTTAGACCCTGGACTCTTTTGCCAAGTGATTAGATGAAATGGAGCTCCACAATAAGTCTTTTAAAGTGGGAGTTGGGGAGGGAGGATCAATAGTTTTTATTTGCCGTATAAGGTCAGTGCAGGTTGGATGTTATGAATTCTTTAAAAGGCATCACAATTCTTTCACCTACAGCGAAAGTGCTGCATGGTTATGCTGAAGCAGCAAAAAGTGGCTTAAACAGGCCACTAGGAAAAAGATCTGACAGACTGGATGGGTTAGCTGGATTTCTCCATTTTTGCTCTTAAACCTGGACTGAATTTCACAGCACTGGAAAGATATCTCATCATCCCCTAACAGTATGGATACACATAAGAAAGATACCTGCAGAGTTTGTGTTAGTTACCATCTTGTACCTCGAGCTTAAGTTGATTTATATTGACAAAGTTGAAATAGGAATGTAGAATACTTCAGTAGATAACATTTTTAAAGGTGTACAGTATTTTTTCAAATGAACAATAATTATATAATATTTATACTAATTTCAAGTTTAAAATAAAGTATTCACCATTTGTCCTTTCTTATAGAAGAGCATGTCTGTGAATCTGCTCTTAAAAAAAACTCTGAGGCAAAACCCAAGATGGTGAAATAAAGGTTAGGTTATAGTTTATCAGATCTTTAGAGGAATACTTCAGCCACAAAATAACCATTTGTCTATCAATTAGCTAGGCTGTTGTACCTTGAAAAACGTTTTTATTTAAAACTGGACTGAAAACTAAACTGATCTTCAAAACCAGACCCCAATACTTAAGTTTTGTTAACCAAAATGTATGTGTTT